ACCAAATCACTGATAGTATCTAACATGCATTCTTTTATATTGTTCCACTGCACTTCAGCATTTCCGCTTTCACCTTCAATTGCACCGAGTTTCTCTTCTAGGGTCTCTTGCACGCTTTGTCTTTGAGCATATAACTTCTCCAAATCCCACCTGGGTCTGCGCTTTCGAAATCCTATAATTTTCTTCAACCTGGTTCGGAACTTGGCAACCAGTAAGTTGTGGTCAGAGTCAATATCTGCCCCAGGAAGCGTCTTCACACCCTTCACACTGTTTCTGAATCAGTGTTTCACAAGGATGTAGTCAAGCTGATGTCGCCTCCAATCCCCAGGTGTCTTCCATGTGTAAATTCTTCTCTTTGGCTTCTTGAACCAAGTGTTGGTAACAATCAGTCCATTTCTTTCACAAAAGTCAATAAGGATTTGACCCCTGTGATTCTGTCTTCCTAGTCCATGTGATCCAACAATATTCTGATATGTTTCATCTCCAACAATGCTATTCCAGTCTCCTAATATGATGCTGTTTGTGTCACCTCTTCCATCTTCCTGAAGAATTTCTTCAATTGTGTCATACACTTTTTCCACTTCATCATCTTCATACTCTGATGTTGGCATGTACACTTGCATAATCAGTATATCCACTGGTTCCGCCTTTAACTTCAGAGCAATAATTCTGTCATTACAAACAATCTTCTTAACAACACTCCTCACTACACTTTTACGCACCACTATTGCCACACCTCTTTCAACCCGTTCACCTCCAGAAGAATACACTGTATAATCACCACTTCTTATATCACCTTGTCCTTTCCGCCGTACTTCGCTGACACCTAAAACAGACACCTCATTCTTCTGCATTTCTGTTTTCAAATTCTCCAATTTGCCTGCTTGATTCAAGGTCCTTACATTCCATGTTCCAATCTTGTTGCCATGATGTTTCTTCTGATCTTCGCACTTTTTCTTGTCATAACGCCTGCATGACATTTCCTCTAGAAACACTCCCCCCCCCAAGATCCGACTGGGAGAGTAGTTTACCTCTGGATTGTTTTGTCTCCAGAGGAAACATCTCGCATACATGGTATCTCTGTTTTTGGAAAGAGACTATCCAGGAAAAGTGATAATGTGGTAGTCTTTCCATTTGCTTTCCACATCGCAGTACAATGGCCGTTCAAACCACTCTGGTCACACCTGTTTCCATACGAACTTGAACCATCTCCTTTGCTCTGTGCTTCAAGTCGCTGCTGATGACGCTGCTTCCGGCATCAGTTTTTGGTGTCTCTTCGTCTGATGCCTACCCTTTGACCTGTCCAGCAAGGGTGGCCCTGCCAATAGTTACACTACCGCTGGTATAGCGCTCAGGGTCCTTGGCATATTCAGACCCCCTCACCACGATAAGGGATTGGTCAGTCTTAACCAAAATTTCATTTTTGCTATAACCTTTAGTGTGAAAATTCATAAGTGTATGAGAACATCACATGGTTTTGAGATTTGAAGGTGGACAGGGGGCCGACATCCATGACCTCATGAGGTGTTAGCTGTTGTCCATGTTGCATATAGAATGCCTGCTAATAGTAAATGTATTTGCAATGCTAGCAGTGATTAAATGTAAAGTACATATCTGCTTCTGAAGATCATATTAAGTACATACAGCTATATTGTGTTCTAATTAATTAGGAACAATAGTTCAGTAGGAACTCTTTGTTTGATGACACTTTAAAGAGACTAAAGTGCTATAGGTAAAGGTAAAGCTATCCCTGTAACAGGCTGTAAAGCCCCATAGGAGTGTGAGAGATCGAGGCTCCCACATCTTCTAGACAGTCAGCTCATAGATGGCGGTAAGGTTGTCAGCCTTATGCAGCGGCCACCCTTTATCCCTAAGGAAAATTCCTTTTTACTCATTTCTGTTAGAGACTGAGTCGACCCCAAGGCCATAGTGTGGCTGGAGGGATTAGGTCAATTGAAAAATCCAGTGACCTCACCGGGATTTGATCCTGCAACCTTCCAGCTTGTAGCATAGTGCTTCAACCAACTACACTACTGTTTGCCCCAAGTGATATAAATATTATTTAAAATTCTATTTCTACCTTGAGGAATACACACTGCTTCACTATTACATTGATTAGTCAGTTACAGATATCTAGTAAAATAACTCATTTATTCTGAAAACAATTAAATCTGTAACATCCAGGAGTAATGTTCAAAGTTACTGAATGTTAAAACCAGTTTGTGCACACAGATGCCACTGCATATGAAAACGTGATGTGAATTGGTAGTAGGTTGAGGCAGTGTCACCGATGAAGATGAATGTAATACATGGTCTGATGATAAAGTTCACAGACTCATCATGGTAAAAGTGCTACTTACCTCATTGCTGAATATCACTGTAGTTGCCTTCAAAGTAATCCCTTTGGGAAGCTATGCATCAATGCCAGCATTTAGTCCACCCTTCAGAAAATTTTGGAACTGGTTTTGTGAAATGTCCTTTAGAGCTGCCATCATATTACTCCTGATATCACTGTCATCAAAATGTCTTCCTTTCAATATTTCCTTTATCTTCGGGAACAGAAAAAAATTAATGGGGCGCTAGATCCAGTGGCTAGGAAGGGTGTTCCAACACAGATATTTGTATACTAGCTAAAAACTCCCTCACAGACAGTGCTCTAATTCCAGTTCTGACATTCTTGCAACAACACACCAGAACACACTCAGAAAGAGACTGCCATAGATCAACACCAACACAGCTGTGAAACACTGATATTCCAATAACATCAAACAATACTGAGGTTTCTGTCCACTGCTGCCATGGCAAGCACACAGTGTTGAGTTTGTGAACTATATTGTCAGACCTCATACAAGAACATGATAAACTAGTATTATTTGCAAACTTTGGAACGCTTGACTGATTAAGTTGGTTATGTATTATGACATGAAAATCTATTGCTAGGTAACAGCTTGTTGAAACACGGCTTCGAGATTATGACAGAGGCATTGATTCCTAGGCAGCACATACTAAAGCGTTTCCGTTACAACGAGTGGTTGAAGATTGTTCCCATGGCAAGGAAAGACATGTTTCAGTGACAACTGCAAAAATGAAGAAATGTACATTTGCACCGAGTGTTTCATATCCGGTCGGCGTGAACCCAGCCTAGGTCGAGAGAATTGACCACAATACAGAATACAAAAGAGTGCAGAAGAGACTGGAGACTGGGAAGTCCTACCAAGTAGTAGAAGTCCAGTCCAGGGACAAGACAGAAGAGGAGAGCTTGGGTACAGGCCTGCTCACCAAATTCATACAAGGAGCATCAAAGAGTGGAAGTGTTGAAGACTTTGTATGTTATTGTTCCAGCAACCTTTTGAAGTGTATTGAAGTATTTATAGATCCACCTGGTGATTGTCCAATAAATCGATTCATCACTCCAGAGAACCTATTAATGACTCGTTGCATTACCAGGATACGTGACAGTGTATTTAGTACAGTGAGGTGATTCTCTGTTTATAAACTTGAGTAGTGGAAATCTCTACTTTTGTTTCAAGGTTTATGGCATATTATATTCTTATTCAACCTATTCCTTCACAGAACCCTTGACTGAAGACTACTGTGGGGTTGAACCTGTGACACATCCACCAGATGTCATAGAAACAAGGCCTCCCCCAGTTGTGGATGAAGACAAACTTAGACAAATATATCAGCGTACTGACTCAGCCATACTTGGAGGTAAGATTGGTGTCCATATTTTGAAATCTGTGCTAAGGCTTGCATTTGTTGTTGAATTTAATAAGAAACTAATACAGTGAATGTCACAGCATATTCGGTTAATTTGGTAAAACTTTCAAGGTCAGTCTTGGAATATGTTTGCTGGTGTTTTGAATTCAGCAGACTGTTTTAATTGATATAAAACTATATCTTGGAGTGAAGGAGTGGAGTGAATTGAAGGAAATGGTCATGGAGCATTCTCTTCCAGTTGGAAGTGGGTTGCATGTGTCTACATTAACTCTTCAGCACTGCAGGACATTTAATTCCTATGCATTCCTGCGGACAGAGGATATTTAAACATTTAAAACCAAAAATGAAACATTTTACTTAAACTGTAATAAATATATAGGAAAAATTGGATTTCTTTTTCTAATTTTCACACTACGTTCAAAAAAGTATATAAAATTCGATTATTCATCCACGTTGGTTTAAAATTATTTTTGGCACATTAAACTTATAAAAATTATGAATAATTATACTGTATTACCTTAGAAATTGAGTTTGGTGTGATAGTTTCAAAAGCATTCCATGCAGACTCCTATGTCACAGCAGTACTCAGTGGCCTTCCTCTCCCTCGGCTTCTGACAAACACCACATCATTTCTGTTCTCATTTGGTGGAATCTTGCTTATAAAATGTCTGTGTGTTAGACAGGGCACTGTGTTGTCTGACAAATGTCAACCCAGCACTTTGTGTACTTCACAAACAGTCCCTCAGCTAACTGATTTCTCAATGACAACTGATCAGTTCCTTTCCTGTTGTTATTCCTGCATATTATCAGAGCATTCAGAACTAGGTATCCAAGAGCCTGTGAAATAGCTTCATATACCATTTATTCATTCTCTTCTTCTCAGTCAAGAAAGAACGAAGCAGCTGGTCCTTCAAATTGACCCCTATCATTGACTGGTTGTAATCCGATACTGAAAAGGGTTTTGAGTACTTCCTTGCCTCCAATTGTAACAGTCCTGGTGTCATGAATGTGGTATATGGGAATCATACTGACGGTTTTTTGTTGCTCCATTTTGTGAGAGAAATGGATCCAGAATGCTGTGCTATATTTTTTCCTCTGTATTGTATATGATTTTCAGTGTCTTGGCTAGAGACAGTGAATTATAGTAATTTTCCATCGACAGTCTGGCCTTGTTTCAGTAGAGGCTCTACTAGTTTCAGAACAGTGGCTGTCGTTTTATCTGTGTCAGCTGAAATCAAGAGGTCATCAAGTCTCATATCCTTGCCTGCTTATACAAGGAAGGACCTTGAATACCCTGTGCTAATGTCATACAGCTCACAAGTTTTAATTCCAAATTTGTATGCCTTGAGAAGTAGGTACCGTTTGAAAGGCACACAGCCTTTCCAAAGTGTCAGTCATTCATCAGTTGAAATATCCTGGTTTGGGAGATACAGTTCCTGAAATTTGTTATTCAGATGTGAAATTACTAGGAATATTTTGAAGTTTTTGTTGGTCTTTCAGAATTACTGATGGTTTCATTGTTAGCAAAATGCAGACATTTACATATTTTTTCCAATCTATCTCATGTTGTAATGGGTCCAAATGCTGGTGTGGAAATTATACTCTTTTTGTGGGAAAATACAACCTGAGAGTAGGTTTCTAAATGATGTCCGTAAACATAAACAGACCCAATACAGCATAAATTTTTCCCTCTGTCACAGGCTTCCATGACCTAACATGTGACCTGATTGATAATTCACATCCGTGTAGAAACTACTCTGTTTATCTCTTTGATTTTTTGACAGTCATGTCTGTTAGTTTTCTACTGATAAACAATGCAAAAAATGTCCACAGTATCTGTTACTTGTTTTGCATTGCCTTGAAGTCCAACACTGCTCATGAAATTGTCCCTTTGTCCCATACAGTTTGCATGTTCTTTCAAACAAAAGTCTTGAGTGACACTGCCACCTTCATCACTACCATCATTTACCACAACATCAAGAAAAGCATGATCATCAAATTCATTGTTACTGTCAAATTCCAAACCTGATAAATTCCTTCTTATTCACTTAGAACATACATGAAATGATAGCTTATAATTTCCTCATATTTTATACCAAAATAATCATTTTACATGAATAACAGCAGTTTATAATAATAACTGACACCACAGCACTAGGCATACCATGTGTGTCGTACAGCATTGATAAGTTAACCAGATACCCCAGTAATGCAGTGTCACTATCAGTATATATATATATATATATGTTGTAACCATTTGCGTATATCATGAACTTACTATTACTGTAAGGCTGCTCCATAGCTCAAGCGGTTAGTCGCTGGCTTTCCACCGTGGTGGCGCGGGTTCGATCCCGGGTCTGGTCGAGTGGGATTTGTGGTGGACAAAGTGGTGCTGGGTCACGTTTTCTCCGAGTACTTTGGTTTCCCGTGCCAATCATCATTCCACCAATTGCTCCAGAATCACCCTCACCTATCATCTGGGGCTGGTGCAATAGGCCAGAAGTGGCCGCAGTACGAGGGACTTAGTCCCCCCACATTAGCAATAAAAAAACAATACTATTACTGTATGAGTGGAATATCTCATCCCTTTCCATGCTAATTCATCTGCACAAAGATATGTTGTAGATAATTCACCTTTCCTGTCCTTGAGAAGGATCTGAAATCAGTCATACATGATCATTACTTACTTACTCATGGAGCTGAGCCCTTCTGGAGGAGCTGCCCATTCTGCAGCTACCCAAGAATTTCCCAGCATTTTATTAAACCAGAAGGTTCATTACATGTTCACAAGAGCCCTTCACTAGTCCCTATCCTGAACCAGAGCAATTCAATCCATATCATCCCATCCTGTCTCTAAGATCCATTTTAATATTGTCCGCCCACGTATGCCTTGATCTTCCCAGTGGTCTCTTTCCTTCTGGCTTTCCCACCAATATCCTATATGCATTCCTCTTCTCTCCCATTCATGCTACATGCCCTGCCCACCTCATCCTCCTTGACTTGATCATTCTAATTATACTTGTAGAAGAGTACAAGTTATGAAGCTCCTCATTATGCAGTTTTCTTCAACCTCCTGTCACTTGATCTCTCTTCGGTCCAAATATTCTCAGCGCCTGTTTCATACATGATCATACTTATACATAATGCTTTTTCACTAAACTGAGACAAGTTGAAAGAAATGAGTGTTTTGTCTCAATGTTTCAGGTATTCTGGCCATTATCTTCTTAGCATTGGTAATAATGGCTATACTGATTGGGCGGTATTTGGCTCGCCATAAAGGGGAATATTTAACTCAAGAAGACAAAGGAGCAGAGTCTGCATTGGATCCAGACTCCGCAGTTGTGCGCTCCACAACGGGCCATCAGGTGCAGAAGAAAAGGGAGTGGTTTATCTGATACGAAAATAAACATTACAGGAGTAAATGCGCTGCTACTGACGTCTGCTTCAACACCATTTTGCAGCCGAGTCATCTCTTTGTCAGAATTAACCAGTTGTGTCTGAATTTAAATAGCCACAGGGCTAAAACTTCCAGAAAAACACTAAGTCAAGAAACATGGGGTAGCTATTTGGCCTTTCGTTGTAACCACAGCACGAATTTGGGGTTCAAAACTCTCAGACAGTGAAAGCCAAATAGTATAATGTTTCTGGCAGAGAAACAGATACTGCATCAGTGACTTTCTATCTGTGCTCTGCATATGAAGTTTGTTTGATACTGACACCAGCAAGTTAAAACATTACAGGTTTTTGATGGACTAATGAGGTGTACACTCATTCTTCTGTAGGATGGAATTGACATCAAATTCTCTATCTACTTGATGAATTAGGAATCCAGCCACTTGAGAGTTACTATCTCATGAGGTAGTACTGCTTGTGTCATATGCAGTGTACTGCTGATATGTTTTTCATTACAAAATCCTTCATCTGGAGCTACATGTCAAACATTACTTGTTTGGGGGGGGGGGATGCACTGTAATTTAAAATTCAAATTTTGATAATGCATTGGATTACAAAAGATATTTTTATGCTAGAATGCACTCTGAAACACCACACTCCTTTTGGGTTAACCTATAGAAAAACCATGCCATGTACTTTAGTCTCCTTTTATGACTTTTCTGGATAGAAATTGCGGCACCATAGCAAAATTGAAACATGCTCTAACAATTTAAGGACATTCCTTATCCATTTTCTAAGTCCATACATTGTTGACACCAAACATCTCTTGTCAGTGTCAGGACCCACATTCTGCATCTGTTTTTGAAACAGATTTTTATTTTGGACTGTCATTCTAATTCCAGCTTCCATATTTAAAATTAACCATATATATTGGGTCCACTTAAATCAGTGCAACAGGACGCTAAAATATAACATTATATATATTGGGCATGAAATTATAAATGTAGCTGCTAAGGGCAATAAAATTGGAACTTAACATTTTAAGTTTAAAGAAAAAGTCACAGTGTATATTCTTACCCATGTGTAGACACAGTTTGTGGGGAATCTTTTGTTTTGTATAATATATGTATATTATTATTAGGCCTCTTGGTATCAGACATCACTGTAACTTAACTGTTTGCTAGCAGGCTTTGGATAATACACTTCATTCATATGTGGTTCTGTTTTATGAACCAGAAGGAGGTAGTGCTTCTTCATGGTGTTTCAGATAAGTGACATATTCTGCTGTTTTCTGTTGTAAGCAAATAAATACTTGTGCGCCTGAGTGTGGATGCTAGAACCAAAATGTTTTATACTAGTTAATACTGTGGTGGAATTTCGAACTTTGGACACAGTTTTATTTACAAGTTTCAAGAAACTTGGTCAGTCAGGGAATGTCTTAGAAGATATGTTTAAAAAAACACATCGTTTTTTCTTTATTACTTTCCGTGACTGACTGAAGAATAAATGTGTGTTATCAAGAAATTAATTCACTAACATAGTAAACTGAATGTTGGGAGTTGGGTCATTAAAATTTATTGATGACTCGAACTCTTCTGAAGTGAACCATGCTGTAAAGATATTTTATAAAGCAAGGTTGTAGGAAAGTCTGCTATGACGTATCTGTAAACAAGGAACTCACTGTAAAAAGCACATAGAACACCTTGTTGTCTGATTTTAAATGTATGTTTAAGGATAAAATAAGTCAGACGCTAACATCTGATTTAACTTCATATATAGCATAGGGAGCAGAGAGCCCATAAATTGGCACATCTACAGACACACAACAGGTGCCAAAGCAGCAGATTTTGACTTGTTACTTATAATTACTGAATGATAGAGGAAAGTAGACACTATTACAGCAATGTAGCAACACTGTTGAACATGTCTGAAATCTCTTTTTACTAATATTTTGGCTCTCATAAATAATATTGGAAGTTGTAGCTTTGAGCACAAATTATAGTTCTTTAAAGAAAAAAAGTAAAGCTATCCATGTAAAAGGCGATGAAGGCTCATATTGTTGAGACACATCGAGGCTTCCACATCTTCTAGACTGTTGGCTCGTAGATGGTGGTAAGGTTGTCAGCCTTACATGCCGGCAACCCATGTTAAAGTTCTTATGAAAAAAGAAGTAGATGCCATTATAGCAATCTTCGCCAGTAGGGGCATTTTTTTTAAAGTAGCTCATGTGCAATTGAAACTAAGATGTCTGATAGTATTATTTCGCCAAAGGCAGAACCTATAGCTAGGTATCAATAGTAATGTCATGGCAAAATCGGAGGTTCAGTGACCTAACTGTGAAGTTAAAATGTTAATTTTGTTTTGGCAGTAATTTTCATGACATTCATAATTTTATGTCGTACTATCCAGTTCGTACAAACCAAAACATTTACTCAGATTATCAGTTGGTATTGTGTGATTCATTCCATTATGAGAAGTACTACAATTCTGTGTACAGTAAACGAAACTGTAATTAGGAGACTAACACTGAAACAAATAGCTAAATGTGCTAATAGAAAAGTTATTCTGTAAAACAAATTAACCTCTACAGCAGATTTCCTTAAATGATTTTAAACTCAGGAAACATTGATAAAATGAGAAACCGGCTCTGATAACCACAGATACAGAAAGAAATCAGATCGTTTCAGTTTTTGAGCAGTACACAAAAGAGAAAAGGGAAGGGATTTTGGAACCTGGGTATATCGAGAAGAATGAGCCTGCACTCCCATTGTTTTCCAAATATGCATTGCTGTTCCGAATGAAGTGTGTCATTTGATAAATATGTTTGCACAACTCCAGTGTTGCGTGGAACACAGTGTGGGAAGTACTGACCTAGAACATCGATTTGTGCACATTTTTGTACTGAATCAAAGGGTCAGTAGTGCTACTAACATTATGTACAGTACAGGGCTACTATAAATGATTCATTCGTTTTTAAAACGCTATATTTTCCAAAGCATTACACATACAAATATGATTGATATATAAAAAGAACTGTAAACTCACCAAGTTTTCTTCACACTCTACAAATGTTCTATGTATGCCCCTTGGGTCACACGACACACGTCCAGGCAGGAGTCGAGCTCGTTCCACACATTTTATAGCATCATCCTGTCAATGGTCATCACTGCAGCATAGATTCGTTCCCTCAGCTCTACTAGTGTTCTTGGCAGTGGTGGTACGTAAACACGATCCTTAATATACCCCCAAAGGAAGAAGTCACAAGGCATTAGATCAGGTGATCTGGGGGGCCAAGTGAACAGAACTACGTCATCCTCACCAACGCGCCCAGTCCAGTGATGCCCAAGTTCATTGTTTAGGTAGCAATGAACATTGCCGATACCACCGCAAAATGCTTTGTTTACATGGGGGTTCTTTTCCATACTCTTTTGAATGCGTGTTGCACTGCTATAACAGACGAACATCTCGCATATTCCAACAAACAAAAACTCTTTTCTTGCTTTGTCGCCCTTTTGTAAAGGCAATGAACTCGTGCTGCCAACTTGTGCACACAATACAAACTTGGTGAGTTTATGGTTCTCTTTATATAACAATCAGTTGTACGTATAATACTTTGGAAAATATAGCATTTTAACAACGAATGAATCATTCATAGTAACCCTGTATTTCATTACAGTAATTTGATGGCAAAATGCATAGTACAGATCACCAGCCATTGCAGTATTGTCCCATAGGGGATATACATGCCTGGTCTGCATGAAGGAAATTGTTAACGTTAAGGGATATAGATTCCTATTAGAGAATTTATTACGAGGATGAGCACTTGTAGATGGATGAAAGGAAGTCTGGCATCACTAATTGCCCTCCACTTCAAACTTTATAATACTCAGTTACAAATTCAGACATGTGATTTACACTTGAACATATGAATCTTGTTTTATTTATTGTAACAAAATATTTTTAAATTGTATGAACAGATTTAATTTTCAGTTTCAAACTTGGTGTGTCTTCCTAAGTACATAAACCTTTTACTACTTTTATTAGAGAGCACGCGGTAGCGTAGTTGGTTGAGGGGCTATGCTACAAGCTGGAAGGTCAAGGGTTCAAGTCCCTATGAGGCCATTGAATTTTTTTCAATTCACCTGATCCTTCCAGCCACATAGTGGCCCTGGGGAGTAAAGTGCAGCCAGCGCGTAAGGCTGACAACCTTACTGCCATGTTTGAGCTGATTGGCTAGATAATGTGGGACCTTCAACTTCTCACAACCCTATGGGCTTTCACGGCCTGGTACAGGGATAGCTTTACTTTTTATTACTACTTTTATTATCGAACTTCCAGGATGTTGGCCAATGGAATACAGTTTCTACAGAGAGTAACAATCACAACTTGAGAATTTATGTGTATTTACACTTTCTAATACCATGTCTGTAATGAAACCACCTGGAATTTTCTCATTTTAATTATCACAAGTAAAGATTTAGTATTCATTACTTAGCATGGCATTAACTCCAATCATGTCTTAGTTTGTAGTGCTTGTGAAGCACCAGTGTGTGTGTTGTGTTCATGAGTAATTGATGATATTTTTAATTACCTCCAGTATTTAGTTAATGGATCTGCTGGCAATATTATGATACATACTGCTGACTGAGATATTTAAAACTTAGCTACCTTTGAGACAAAGAGGAACATATTTTTCTACTTCACATATAGAAATGACTCAGGATTTTATTTTACAGTAATTTTCTGTCACTGTTGTAATAAAATTTTTTATAGACACCCTCTGTCTCTAACAAAAGTAATAGATCTTGATTAGTTGAGTATTTTGTCATGTAATTTGTTTATGATGAGCCTCCTTTTAACAGTACATAGTGGTTCTTCCAACACTTGGGATAATCTTGCACTTACAATGTATTTCTCTTAAATTCATGTCATTTGTTCCTATAGTGTCAAATGTGACACATGTATGAACTATTAACTGCACGATTTTCATGGGCGGAACACATTTTAAAAATGTGACCCAGGAGAATGTGCATACAGCAAACTGAACGTCCTGAAAGTGAAAACTGTTGAGTCAACATTTCATCTTATCAGCATCATTCAGTAGTGATAACATCTTGGCATAGTGGGAATACTCTTTTGTTTCAGTTTGTTCTTAAGGCACATCTTTGTCCAAATATAGTAGCTCTGATATTCATAATGCAGGACTACTTACCATTGATAATCAGAAGTGGATATTGTGAGAATGCGGAATGAAATTTGTCATTTGAAACATAAAATATAATGTACTGATTAAGATAAATGTGATGGATGATATGTGTTGGTGCATCTTGCCATACAAAAAATGTATTCTATACTAAGATCTGTCTCTAACTTTTATTTGATTTGGTAAGTTTACTGATGTGCAAAAAAAAATATATATATATATTAATGTGAGTTGAAATGTAACAGCCACGACCAAAGTGTAACATTTTGTAAGCTGCAACTTAGAACTCCCATGCCAGATTTCAGAGGAAAATTTATAGCAGTAGAGGAAATTTCTTTCAAAGAGTATAGACATAACACTAGTTATATTTTGTGTAGGGTCTAGAGTCTTCATTTAGGATTAAGTGGTAATTTTTGTTATGGAACTCAAAAGCACATTATTGTTACCCCTACAGCTATGATATTTTTTGCAGTGTTAGTAACATTTATCTGAGTGTGTTTACAAATGTAGACAGTACTGCACATTCCAAATTGTCTGGTACGAAAATTAAGAACATATATATCATTAGAATTTAAAGGATGGATAGACATTTTGATATGACAGTGATTCTTCTGATGTGGCTTTATTGATTCACTGGGAATGAAATGTGAATGACTCAGGTGTAGCTAAGTTTTAAATTGGCTTGTGACCATGTATGTTCTGTAGCCATCACATTCAGAGCAATGTACCATTTTAGTGATTGTGTTAATTTTTTTGTTTACAGTTATTTGTGGTATTTTTATATAATGGGCAGTGTGTATTGATTTTACTTTTGTTAACAAAATACATTCTAAATTAATGACATTATATAAATGTTATATATGTATATATTAGGATATAGGCATAGGATTAAGTCCTGAGGTTCTATGCAACCTAAGTTTCTGTTTTTATTTTAAACCAAATTTTATTTAAGATATTCGTATTATATATATATAAGTGGGTTTTCTCATTTTAGGAAAGCATATTTGTGGCTTTACAGATTTTACATTCCACATACCTGTTTTTATGATTCACTCTTACATTTCAGGATACCTACTGAAAAGAGATGGTCTTGAGTTTTTTAGCTTACATTCTTCAGTTATGACAAAAAGTGACAGCTTGATTCAGAAGTATTACTTTTGAATTTGTAGTATAAGTTAACACCTTTGCATTCAGAAATGAAGGTATTGGTGCGTCATAATTTTAGTCATGTTAAAGTGAACTGCAGTTAGTAGAGTCCAGTACCTGATAACACAATTTCAGGTTAGTGAATCTCTTTGAGCTTTAAATCTAGACCTTATTGCAGTCCACTGTAGATAGCTGTCACACTGTCTGGTATTTAATTCATTTATGAGGTAAGTTTATAGTTTGATGAAGGTGGCATCTCACTTTACCAAGCCTTTTTATTAATAAAGGTTACATTTTTCTTATTGTGCTAAGCTTGAAATCTTCCCTTCATTTATTTATCCAAGATACAAAAATTGTGGAGAATACAGCAAAGACCAATTTCTTTTTCATTCCTAAATATAGATTCTGTACAGGTAAAAGTAATATGGCAGAGTCATGACTGCCTGTGTGATTGTACTTATCATGGCAGGTTTTACTGCACATTTCCTTCAAAGTAATTCCACCAGTGTCACACACTCTTACCAATCCTCTTCTTTCCTTTACACCTTCTGCTGACTGTGAACTACTTAAAATTAACTTCTTTCGTGGTCCAGTCCCCATACCACAAATATTTAAGTATTAATAATAAAGCATGTATCTAGTAAAGTTCATTAAATACCTTACTAAAATTCGTTATAGAGCAACATAGTTCATACTTTGTAGTTATTCCATGAAATACCAACACACCAAAAAGTAAAATTTACACTTCCAACATTCTTGTGATCTGAGGATTATTTCTTGCACTTTGAGAGGGGCAAGTGGCTGACACTTGTGACAGGTTAAGTTTTGCAGTAGACTCTGAAATTTTTATATGAGTACATTATCAAAGGAATTATTAACCCCTCAAGCGTGTGCGACACACCATATGCATCTGCTCAGTTACATGCATCTAGCATGAATTTAAGCGGGGGTATTTAAATCCCTCCCGGTGCTTTATTTTCGCAAGCATGGAAGGTTTTGTGCAGACATTTACCTCAATATTTTTAAATAACGAAATCGCTCTTTGAAAAATTCCAAAAAAATATATTTACAGTTGATTTTTATAAATGTGTGCTTACATTTTGTCAAGCTATTTTTTTCCCCAGCTCTCCATATCCAGTGTCTAATAGTTGACCTTGGTGTGGTATTGCTCAAAACGGCGGTCTAGGCCGAGAGATGGCGTCCCTGGGCAGTTTTTACACCTGTATCTGGTTTGTTTTCTCTTTCCATTTTTTGTACACACCACAGACCTTCCAACTTTATAAGTTTCGGTTTTGGGATCGTCTTGAATGAAATGCTGTCCCGTCAATCTTGTACATTCCATGTCGGTATCTGAAGGACGGCCTTTGTGCTTTTCTAAATTCTGTCAATGGGACTTTGCTAGGATCTTATTCACTAAGTTTATTCTGAATAACAGATGATCTTTCTTGTTACCAGCCTTGCAGTACAGAATGTAAGCATTCAACACTGCCGTATTTACTAAGTGGTTGAATTATTTTTTGTACCACACTTTTTCCCTTGTTTCCTACTAAAATACATTCTGAGGTTTGGTTTCTGAATTCCCATCAGCATAAGCAAACCTAGGAATACCCTAATTTCATTCGAACTTGTGAGAACCCACCTTTGAAATGTGATTTTATTTTGCGTCAGGGGCAAGAAACTGTCCCGTCAAAACAAGTTACGTGACCGATATGCCATGGGGCTCTGCTAAGAGAGTGTCGCAAGGCAGAAAAAGATAACAAATTCATAAATATTGACACAGGCGTCAGGCAACTTCGACCACTAGGTTTGTAACATCGTAAATCAGACACAGCTGCTTTGTCGCCAGTAAAAAAAAAATACCGAGACACACAAATAACAAGCATTCAATGAAAGTTAGCTAACAAATTCTCTCTGAAAGCAAGTCGGAATGTGAGTGGGAACAATTCTTTCGTAAGCAGCAGACATCAGATGCTTTGTAGCAAGCAAAGCGAGTAAAAATTACCACACACAAACAGATAACGAGGAATGAAAGAAGTCAGCATTAGCTCACATATACATTCACTGGAATTACATACATCAGAGCGTAGGCATTAAGAATTCTTAGTGAAAAGTTTGGACTCAACATATGGGACGCGCACGCTTAGAGCATGGGTTTGAGCGGATGCAGATGTTTTGCCGCACACGCTTAGGGATTTAAATGGCTCCGCTTAAAGTCACGCTCAAGGGGTTAAAGAGCTGCCCTGTATCATGCTTTTCTCACATTGGTGGTAGTGACTTGACAACACCTGTAAATCAAAAAACCACTGAACAAATTAAAAAGAATTGGTTGTGGGACCAAAATGTATGACAAATTGCATCACAATCTTAGATTAGAAGCCTCAATAGGTATCATGTTTTTTCATGGAATGACTATTGAGCAGCATTAGAATGTGTTTGACTTGAGGTTCGAATGGCATCGAGTATCAAGGTTGTGGTCTTTTGGAGTATGACACACTATGTGGGTTGATAGCTGGAGACTGATTAAAAGGAACTTGCTTCCTTTGTCTTCAGGATAACTACCCAGAATGCTCCATAACTGTTAAGAGTATGCACCATTGAATTCTTTTAATAACATTGATCTGTATTAATGACATTTTGAATTAAATATCATTTTCTAAATTTTGGTGTATATCTTATAATGTGATAAGGTGGAAAATTGAGACCTAAAATGAGTAGAAACAAAATGGCGGTATTGTCAAAAATTTAAAAGTGCATTATACCTCCATGGTGATTCTAATATGCGAATACAAATTCTCGATTTTGTTGTACTTGCATCAAGCCTGGCCATCAAAGAATTGTTGAATTGTATCTGGGTAGTAGTCGATGAGGTATCAGGCACCCTGTAGTGCTCTAGTCGGCAAAGTGGCACATCTTGCCAGCTACGTTCTTTACCGACTTATATATCCATGGCACACCGTATACAAAATCGCCATTTTGTTTCGAATTGCCTTAAGCTTATTCGTCGAAAAAGCTGAGTTAGTAAGTAGCATTAGTAGCGGTTAGTAGTATCCAAGTACTAGGATGGACAAGGTATGAGCCATCCTCTAGATTCTATCCAGTCGGTAAAGTGACACATCTTGCCTCCTAAGTTCTAACGACTTCTTGCTCTGTGGGAATATGATTCAAGCAAGTTCCAGTTTCAGAATTTATTCAGCTGAAAGGTTGTATACAAATAAAATGCCAAATTGCTCTAAATGTCCTTAGCACTAGTGTTATGCAAGGTCAGATTTGCAAGGGAATTTATCTTTGGCTTTAATTTGAAATTTATTCTCTCATTAAATTGTAATAGGTTATGTGGCATCACACAGTAGGTAGTCTTAAGCAACAGTTCCTGTTCCATACTAGTACTAGCAGTATAACTAAACTGTGGCCCGGGTGGGGTTCCTTTCCCTAACCTGTAACCTGAGGATGGAAACAGGCCACAAACACGAATACTCTACATACAGCTGGCTTCAAACTACAGGATCATATTGCACATGCTCCTATGTACAATAATAATTGTTCACTTACAGCGATATCTTATGTCGACACGTTTTCAAAACTTAAATGAAATTTGATTTAATTAAATCAAAAACTTCCACGCAGTTCCACCTATCTATCTAAGGCTCTAGAGCACTTGTGGACATTGGCTGCTTTTTCAGTATCTTACCAGTTGGTAGGCCTCCTTGGACAGGGGATCAGCCGGTCGGAAGGCCACTATCTACACACACAACACAAAAACAGAAAGTGGAATAAATGCAAACAGACGTCCATTTCTCGAGTGGAATTCGAACCAATGATCTCAGTCTGCGAGGGGGGGAAGACATTTCCTCTATTATATTTTCTGTGTTGCGGTCCAAACCGAGGCTATATAATGAGAAGCCAACAATAACTGACAGTTCAGTTGGAAGTCAGAATAGTTCCCATGAAGTATCCTGTTGAAAGATGACAGTGTGTCAGATTTGGGAACTGTTGCAACCAGCTGTATAAAGATCCAATAAATTCAATCATCAAATCCAAACCCTGTCTTATTAGTCATGCAAACCTCAGACACATGACAGTATTTATTACTGAGAACAGTTGTGACATCAGGTAGGCCTGTCTCAGACACAAGGGTGACTGCACAGTGCAGATGATAACCAGTAATCCCAGTGGCATGGGAGCTAATTCACTGGAGAGGGAAACTACATATGGTTGGAGAATCAGACAAAAGCATGAGGCCTTAACTCAAACTCAATAATACAGCAAAATAATCATACCCACCCAGAATATTATCAGTTTTAAATGTCAGCAGAACCATACAGAAATGTATACGATGTTTACATAAAACAGGATTCTTCAAGTAGTGATATTTGAATCCTAACTAGTCAATCCTGACAGGTGGTTTTCATGATTTTCTCAGTCCCGCCAATCAAGTGATGTGAATGTTTACTTTCACTTCTCTCCTAATTCATCATATGCACTCATCCTAAGCAACTGAATACGGATCACTGAAAAAACAAAAATTAGCAGCCTACCTGAATGGAAATGCTTCATTCCTGAACTACAGCCTAACTTTTCTAAACTCAATGTAATTCAGGCATGTATAATCATTAGTTTCCATCATGATCTGTTCTTTCAGGTTCACCTCCTGCGTCAAGCTGAATAAATGGCCTAATAGGCCAAGTGACCTGCTGTACAGAAGTTTCTACCTCACCCAAGCAGAAGTATCTATTCTGTGCCCAGGATATGGTTGCTTTCTTCGCCAGTATCACAATGTATAGTATTTACAACTGTAAGAAAGGGAGTAACAGTCAAATTATGAAATTAAAGTATTCGTATGTAACAACAGCACTGAAAGGAATAATAAATTGGCAATTAGAATTTGAATCACATACATAAATTTTATTGTAATGCTCGCAAACTGCTCCAACAGTCACGGCTACCAAACATACTGACAAGGATAAAGGTAAGGCAAGGTAAAGTCCCTGTGCTTAACTAATTAAGCACTACACCACGAAGGCATATGGAGACGTGGATGTATACATGCACTGTCAAGGGTATGGATATAAATTTCATAACTGTGGATATTCTCTGTTAGGTCTCGCATAGATTTTGGACTTCTGACAAAAAAAAAAAGAAAAGAATAGATTCCTGTTCTTTCAACATCAGAAGAATGTTAATGCACCACTCCACTAACTGCCAAATGTACATTTTGCAGGAGGTCAACTGTTCACTGCCTGCATCTGTTGGTATGATCTGTCTCTTCGATCTACTTATGGTTAAGAACAATGGAGTGTGAGTGGTAATATCACATGCAAGTGACAATGTCTTTTCTGAGACCTGTCTGTCCAACCACTACAATATCAGCTAAATTGCTAATGAGTAGGGCTCTGATTTCTATGACATGTCATATTTTTATCCTGGCATCTTTTCACATGTATAATTAAATATAAACGCATTTCTGACTCTTGTGAACATGAAAATACGGTTTTTATTGGTCATATAAATGCATATTTGAACCATATTTTAGCTTTAGGTCATATTTGGGCCCGAAGTGATATAAAATCATATTTTTGGTCATATTTTAGGCGAGTTTCACTTATTGCTCAGAAATATATTTGCAAGTATTGGCAACGATGTTATTTGGAACTTCATTTCTTAGAAATATTTGGCCTTGTGTAACGGGATTTGAAGGAATACTGTACAGTGTGAAGGGTAATGGTTCTTGACCTGGCGTAGAATCAACCACTTTGAAAAGAGAAATTGCCACCTCTGCCTCTGTCTGTCTGTCTGTCTGTCTGTGTCTCTTTTTCTCCTCCACTGTAGTGATACCTGAAGTCCAGTTTGTTTCTTGCATATTGGTGAAAAATTTTTCCATCCACAAAGCGGTAAATTTCTACCCTCTCCCAGAAACCCGTCCAATACAGTACTGTATTCATAACTTCAGTTGTTCAGTATAGTTTCAAGATGCCTAAAGTCAAGTGCTCAAATAGTATGAAGTTGCGTGGTTTTATTAAAGAGTTTGGTGACAAATATTTTAGTACTGACGGAGAAATTTATTTTGCAAAATGTGTGTAGTTAAAATTACGGCAGACAAACGTTTTACGGTGCAACAACACTGCAATACAGCTAAACATAGAAGCTGTGTAAACAGAGAAATTACCACAGAAAGTAGACAGCGATTATTGTTTGAAAAGTCATCCTCCAGTTCACCGAAATCAGGAAATGCCTCCGAGTTTTCAAAGGATCTTTGTACTATGATGGTTTCATCAAATGTTCCATTACATAAAGTAGATACACCTAGTTTCTGAAACTTCCTTGAAAAATATACAACTCATCTCATTCCGACCGAATCCACATTAAGAAAGAACTATCTCACTACCTGCTACGCTGTTACCATCAATAAAATAAGAAACTGTGTCGGAAATAATAAAATATAAATTGCCATTCTTAGGATTTTTTGTTAAACACTTACTTATTTTTTGTGGGCCATTCTATCATATTTTAGGTCATACTTTGCCATTTTTAGGGCATAAATGCATGCATATTTTCAAAGTTTTTAGGTCATAGAAATCCGAGCCCTAGTAATGAGTGTGTCATTCAAGTCATCTACTGCAGTCTTCACCTAGAATCAAAGGGCTTGTAAGACAACAGCTGAAGAACTGAGGATACAAATAAACATTTAACATAAACACTAAACATTAAATTAAAAATGACATTACAGAATTCCCACAGCACTGGACAATTATCACATTTCTGAATAGATGTACACGTGATGGTCCATCTCTGCTCCTTCACATTACATTCCTGAACAGATCACATTTCCTTTACAGCAATTTATCAGTCCCTTTTCATTGTTACTTACTAAGGCAGCTCCATAGCTCAAGTGGTTAGTCACTGGCTTCCCACCGTGGCAGCCCGGGTTCGATCCCGGTGTGATTTGTGGTGGACAAAGTGGCACTGGGGAAGGTTTTCTCCAAGTACTTAGGTTTCCCTTGCCAATCTTCATTCCACAAATTGCTCCACAATTACCCTCACCTATCATCTGGGGCCGGTAAAATAGGCTAGAAGTGGCCGCAGCACAAGGGACTTAGTCCCACCCCACTAGCAATAAAAAAATAATACTTAATTACTCACGGACCTGAGCCCTTCTGGAGGAGCTGCCAATTCTGCAGGTACTCAAGAATTTCCCAGAATTTATGAAACCCGAAGGTTCATTACTGTTTAATTGTTTCTTGCATCCTGTTGTGTTTTAAATGAATATTAGAGTTAATTTTACCGACCACACAACACGTTTTTTATTTACTGTCACACTACATGTTTCGACCTCAAGAGGTCATCCTCAGGTGTACGAACACAGTTGCACAATCACACTCGTTTTTCCACTTATTTTGATCCTGTATCTTGTTCAGGTCCACGCTCAAGAACTTGACACATATTATTTGAGATAAGAAGAACTTGACACATTATTTGAGCGTGGACCTGAACAAGATACAGGATCAAAATAAGGGGAAAAACGAATGTGATTGCGTGTGATTGTGCAACTGTGTTCGTACACCTGAGGATGACCTCTTGAGGTTGAAACATGTAGTGTGACAGTAAATAAAAAACGTGTTGTGTGGTCGGTAAAATTAACTCTAATATTCATTTAAAACACAACAGGATGCAAGAAACAATTAAACAGTAATGAACCTTCGGGTTTCATAAATTCTGGGAAATTCTTGAGTACCTGCAG